AAATATGTGGAGCTATAGGTGGGCTGAAGCAAGAAAGTACTAGCACCACGTTTGTCACAAAAGCAAGCTGAATAATCGTTCAACGGCGGTACTGTGCTGGTCCTAGCCTAGACCGTGCTACAGGCGCGAGCCTGGACACAAAGGAAGTCACAACACACCACCGAAAACAATGGAGAAGCACAACGAACAGCCCCTTTTCTTCCTTTTCTTTTCTTTTCTTTTCTTTTTCTTTCTTTCTTTTCTTTTCTCTCTCTCTCTCAACGAACAGCCCCTTTTTTCTTTTTTTTCTTTCTTTTCTTTTTTTTCTTTTCTTTTATCTCTCTCTCTGGAGTAAAACCAAGCCAATATGTATGCACAATGTGGAGGAGTCGAGTATGTATGGACTTCTTTGCCTTTTCTGAACACTTCAATATATGTAGCACAAGTGCAAAAAGCAACAAGATTTAATAACACGGCAAGAACAACCAATTCAGAGTCCACAACGATTCCAACTCGGTCTTTATCAAGATTAGAACTCTAGAGTGAGCTGAGCTAATATGGATATGTTGGACGTGGAGAAGTTGAGTATAGATATGAACTCTTCTTTGCACAAAGATGTACTTAGATTCGGACTCAAAAGCGACAACAAGACAGCTATCAATTCGGACTCAAAACCGATTCCAACTCGAACTTCAACACCACATGGGATTCGGTCTCAAAACAAACTCAGATTCCTACTTAGACTTGAACACAAGGATGTATTCGGATTCAATAACAAAGGTTTATATGGTAGCACACGGCTGTGACTAGAACGTGACAAAAACTCGAAACTCTAAAGGACTAAAACTAAGACCGAAAACTCGACACAACCGATGCAACCAAAAACTCAACAAGCCCTAACTAAGCAAAGTGCTAGCAAAGGCTCAAAGGGTTTATTGGGATTATGAAGAACTAATCTACTAATTTTGTTTTGGCTTTTTCTAGACCACGGAGATTAAAAACAACAAAAGAACTGAAGTCTCTCACCGATCAACCTTGCTCTGATTACCAACTGATATGATCCCGCTAGGGTTTGTTCCCGATCTTTCGATGAGAGGTGTGGGATAACTCGATTGATGGGTGGAGACGACGTTCATGGCCCGACTATAGCCTTCCAAGCTGTGCCTTAGCAACCGATACACCACCCCCAACAGCTGCCGCGATCTTGTGGAGCGCGATCAACCAAACCACTAGGGTAATTCCTGCAAGCAATCGAGGAACAAGCAAGAACAAGTAGAACAAGCAACTCAATTGCAAATATGGAGATGAAAACCAATCTGAAATCACAAAGTTGGGGTTCTGAATCAAGTAGAACGGATGGTCTAGTCGACACACGCGTCTACAAGGAAGTAGCAATGGCTAAACTTTCAACAAAACAAAACCCCACTGTTCTTGGTGGCGGCTAAGGGGTATATGAAGGTGGAGGGACGTCCACCAAGGTGTTGGGGTCGTGTTCCAACCCTAGGACGTGTCCCTAATGGACCCGACTTGATACACGGCCCATTGGACCAAACTAAGGCGACGCAACACCTTTGGATAGAAAACCTCCCGGTAGTAATTCGGTCATTGCAGCCGCCTCAGAACAGATATGGATTTGATTCCAGATCCATATGAAAATAGACTTCATAAGGAGTCCATATGCGACCGTGGTGAACATCACAAGTTGGAGCTGTCCTGGAGTCCGAATCCAGCCCCAAAACGTGTTGGATTTGATCTCTTTCTTTCCTTGGACCAAAAGTGACGTGGTGTCCAGGTGGAGGACGTTGGGAATACTTGGATTTGGTCCCCAATCAACTTCATTAACCTTCCATGCTTTCCATATGCAATCAAACCTTCCCTTGATCCATGTAAGTAATTCTGAAAATGAAAATATACACATTTTATGGTGGATCACCAATTCATCAAATGCATCAATGATAAGCCTCATATAGAATGGTTGCACCTTTGGTATAGAAGTGGTTGGCATGGTCATATTTGAGCCAATGATGTCCTCATCAGTACGCCTATGGGCGTCGAGGGTATCCTGCGTGTCACGGTGGCGACCGATATGCTCATGCACCGGGACAACGACGCGTGGCCTATCGCTTTGCGGTGCTTGATGGACTTACGCATCCTTGTTGGGTAGCTCTAAGGGCGTGCGCTGGCTAGCGTCGAGCCCACGTCATTGGGACAACGAGCTCTTGGCCTACTGCACCACCACACGCTCGAGTAGCGTGCGAATCTCATGATAGGCTCAATGATCCTCAGGTGTCGTGGGCCCCGGGAGCCCCTAGAGCAAGGCCGCCATAGCAGCGATGTTCTGGCTTGCCCGGGCGAAGTGTGGGAGTGCTTCATTGTCCTCAATGATCCTTCGGTTCATGTTGCGGGCCATGGCACACGCACGCCCACCGTCTCCATGGCATTCGATCTCTCGCTCAAGCTCCGCGCGTTCCTGCTTGAGCTGGAGTCACGTTTCTTCGAGCTCTTGCTGTCGGGCCTTCAACTACTCCACCCGCAGACGGGGCGGGGCCCTAGCATCCCGCTCGGCCTCACCGTTGAGGTCATTCGTTGGGGTAGCCTCTTCTTTGTGGATGCTTTCGACATGTCCCTCGGGGGTACCTGCCATGAAACACTCATGAGAGGGGTGATGGTCCCCCTACTGTAGTCAGAGCTGGAGGGCGACTCCGATTCTCCTGCGAGGAGGTCATGGAAAGTCTCCGTGACATATTCGGTCATCCCCACGAACTCATCATTTGTAGGGGATGGAGGCGTGCGTTGCGCCATAAGGTGGCAACGGTCTCCGCGGCGTGGCGGAGACTGGACGGGAGCGTTGTCGGGGCGTTCCAGATGAGGTATTTCGGGGAGAGCGGCTCTCCTCCGGCGAGCTATGTCATGACATTAGCGAATGTGAAGGTGAGGTGGCACAGGTTCTCCCGGGATGGTCAGGGTCCTAGGAAGGCGCCGAGCTAGTGCCCTAACCTCCCGTAGTCGAAGCCGAGGAGCTAGTCGCTCTCGGGGGCGCGGGCCTCCGGTGCGTGTAGCTGTAGTTCCTCAAGCGCCTTGGTGATCACATCAAGGCTAGTGGAGTGGAGAGGTTGGATGATGATGGGAGTCCGCACCAACTCTCCCTCCATCGTGATGATGAAGTCTAGGTTCTCGACGCGCACATGCGCGCCCGGGACCTAGCCGACGTTGTGACTTGCCATCCGAGGCCTGGTTTGGATGTCGAGACGCGCAAAAGGCCCCTACCTGGCGCGCCAACTCTCGGTGTGTTGAGTCACCCCAACAAGTAAATTTCTAATATTGCGCGTCTGACTCGGATGGTGTGCTTAGAGGACACGAGGTTTATACTAGTTGGGGTAGAATGTCCCTATGTCCAGTTTGTTGCTGCTGCTTGTGTTACTAGCACTGAAAGTTCATAGTAGGGGTTACAAACGGGCGAGAGAGGAACGGGTCCCAAGTCTCTGGTTAAAGGAGTGAACGGGTGCTGAGAGAGCTGAGTTGCTGCTCAGCCGTGTGTTCGGGGTTCGATGGGTTTGTTCGGACCTGGCTTGAATCGATTCGATCGGTTATCCAATGCCCCTCAATGGAGCGCCCTGCTTTCCCTTTTATAGGACAGGAGAAAGCACGGGTTACAGCGGAGGGAAAGAGGAGAACGAGAGAGAGAGAGAGAGCCGAAGGCCTTCAGGATCATCGGGTCCTTCTCCTTCCTGCAGGTCCCGCCGACACTGTAGATGTCAACAGGGACGGTGCCACATCACGGTCTTGTCCGTCACTAGCGCCATGCGCAGGCATCGTCTGCCGGTCATGGCACTCTAGTCCATCATGGTGGATGTCGTGGTGAACCGACGTGCCGGTCAGTGTTCGTACGAGCGTTAAGCAGAACAGTACCGGTACGCCCGACGCTATTCTTGATGTGAATCCTCAGGTATGGCCCGTTGTGGCCACGGGTTACATCGGGGCATGCCGGTTTCTTCCTTGGCGTCAGAGTTTTGACCCAGGACCATACTCTTGGACCTGGAGTGGTTGGCGGCGGTATGGGACCCCATCGGGCGAGGCGGAGCCCGCACCCGAGGTGTCAGGCGAGGCGGAGCCTGCCCTCAGAGGTTGGGCGAGGCGGAGCTCGTGGCCTCGGGGTCGGGCGAGACGGAGCCTGCTCCCAGAGGTCGAGCGAGGCGGAGCCCGCGGCCTCGAGGTCGTGCGAGGCGGAGCCTGCCCCTAAAGGTGGGTCGAAGCGAAGCCTGCCCCTAGAGGGCGGACGAGGCGGAGTCCGTGGCCTTGGGGTCGGGCGAGGCGGAGCTCTCCCTCAGAGGTCGGACGAGCCGGAGCCCGCGGCCTCGGGGTCGAGCGAGGCAGAGCACGAACCCAAGGGCCAGGCGAGGCGAGCGCAAACCCAACGGTCGGGCGAGGCGGAGCCTGCGGCCTTGGGGTCGGGCGAGGTGGAGCGCAAACCCAAGGGTCGGACGAGGAGGAGCCCACGGCCTTGGGGACGGACGAGGCGGAGCCCGTGGACTCGGGGTCGGGCGAGGCGGAGCTTGCACGCCTGAGGGTCGGTTCGAGCCGTAGTCGCCCTCTTGACTGATCGGATGAGTCAATGTTGATGGTCATTAGCTCCTCCTCTTCAGGTACCATAATATTGGTCTCCGACACTGTTGACCGTTGTCGTGATTCATAATGGCACTTTCTAGGGCCAGAGTGAGATGCTACTGGAACCACATATAGCTAGACTATATACTATATTTCCCTTTAGATCTCGTGTTGTATTGCTTGCTGTAGACACCCAACACTACTTGGATCCTCACTACTTCAGTAGAGCAAGTGAGCAACGAGCTGAAAAGTGCTATGAGACACTTTAAACAATATCCATCTAATCAATCATTCAACTGGGCTTTCATATATATAAAAAAAAACGACGACATGCATGTCAGCTCGATCGGACAAGATCAGTACGTTACCATAATAGTTTTCTGCATGGCAAAAACATATATCTAAGCGATGCATGCATGCGTGCATGCATGTTTCTTCTGCAGGGATGGAGGGCCAGAGGCGCGCAGCAAGACGCTGCCTCGCACGTCCTAGGCCAGGACAATGCTGCGCGGCGTCTGCCTGCAGGCTTTGCTGACACGGCCATCTGCAGGCAGAGACCATCATCGTGGAGCGCAGGTGTTGCAAGCCGCTGGTCGTCGTCGACGGCGGCGGCGGTGCCTTCGCCGTCGAGCGGCAGGAGTAGCATCAGCAGCAACACGGAACAACCAGCATGCAGCTGGACGATGACGAACAAGCATCAGCAGCAGCAGGTGCCATCAAGGATCGCGGTACCGAACCTGGAGATAAGCCTGGGGAGGCAGGGATGGCAACACAACCTGCAGGATCACCATCAGCAGCAGCAGCAGCGCAGCGGGGAGTCCACAGCGCCAAAAGAGCTGACCCTCCTCAAGTGCTTGTGATCGAAATTAATAGCTAATATATTCTTGATCGCCTAATCACTTCTAGATAATTTTATCGAGATGGGCAAGGGAGGTTCAAGGCTGCAAGCAAATGACCGACCGACGACACTAGCTAGAGATATATTTGCTGCTAGCTTCACGTAGTTCTTTTTTGTACTTTTGATCTATCCATTAGCTTCATTTTGTGGTATATGCATGTCATTTGAGCTGATGTGTTCTAGTAGAGACTGTTAGAAATCGCGTAAATAAACGAGCTGCCCTTCTCAATATGTATATATGGTGATTAATTTTTTTAGAGTTCTATATACGGTGACTAATCAAATGATTTTACTTGTGCTTAATCTTTTTAATGGCAAAGTAAGATCACCATGTTCAAGTACAGTTGATAGGAAAAAGAGTACTAATATGCTGCTAGACAGTATACACTATGTGAAAACCCACCTAGTGATGCAGAAAAAGTGGTGGCTCGTCCTAATGAAGAGAACCCACGTCACTTATCTCTATCTGCCCTTCAAGTCAATAACAGACTTTTTTTCGCGACCGTGCCATAGCACATATTTCATTAAGAGGAAGTCAACTTTGGACCTATCGCTTTAATTTGATAAGTTAATAATGACTTGGTTAACAATGCCCACCGCTAACTTCAGTTGACAATGTCATTTGCTTGAGCTTCCAATAGTCCCATGGCAGGAAGCGGAACAACCAATTCAAGACCAAGTAGTCAACTCCCCTGAAAACTTCATAGATGAACAAATCCCTCCTAATATATTGATTGATCTATCCAACCAGAAAGACAACAATGATGTTGAGCCTCAAAACCAAGAAAATTTACAAATTGGTTTTGTGATGATTGAAATGATCCTTGTAGTGCTCTTGTCTTTGAAGAGTACTCCAGTATTGCTGCACCCATTTTTCCGAAGGAAGCCAAGCATATAGCACCAAATATGTGTGCCCTCACTGTATGTGTGCCTAGGATGTCCACAAAACACACATATAGCACCAAATATGGAAATTAAAAGTAATGTTATTAAATAGTGTAAACATATTTATATTGACACTTACATCTTAACACAACACAACACAATAAAAATGATTCTGAATCTTGTCTTATGGCTTCCATTCTTCATAGGGATGTCTGACTGGGGAGCATATGCCTAACACTCCTGGTACTTCTTAGAAAACTCAATACATCCACCATCTGTACCCTCTCATCATATCCGGAATTTTGTTGAACTTAAGCTAGTGTGAGCTCACATTAATCAACAAGTATAACATGAGTTTATACAAGGCTCAAAACGCTACACTGTTGAACTATGGTAAGCACTTTTAGTTGGTCACGTTTTATTCTTTCAAACCTGAGTAACTAAATTATGCTTAAGCCCCACAGTGTAAGTAATTAGAGATTGCAACAAGATTAAGTCATATGCCAAACCATCCATGGTAAATCAGCTAATAAAAAGGATCTTGACCGCTCACCGAGACCATGACTCGTATATCAGATTAAATAACTTTGAACACTGTGCACAATTTTACCAACAGGTCATGATCCCCATTTGTCGGAGGTAACTAGCATACAAAACACTTCCAAGGTGAGTCGATATGATTTTACCATGAGCTATTCCAAAGTCCCCCTAACAAGTTAGTAGCTGTGAGATTTTGGATTTACCCAGTAAATACGGATACCCTCCTACCAAAATGGCACACACCATCACAGCAACACACGCAATGATAAAAAGCCAAATCACACTCAACAAGGCACCCCCTCTTTGGCCTTTCCATAACCATTAACAAGCCAGAGTAGTTCAAAGTAGTAAGACAAGACTACAGTCTTATAACCCTCGTGGTTGTACTATAAGTCCTAGGTTGCCTTTGGGTGGTCACCGGAGTTATCCGGTGAATGGAGTTTGAGATAGAAGAAAAGAAAGGTGCATGATATACTTCTGGTGTGCATTGGAGTTATGTAATAGAGTTAATGCACAAGTGGCAGAGAACATACGAGAGCACTGGAGGTCTCTGGTGAAGGCACCAAAGTTATCATGAGCTGCATTCCATAGAGCTTTGGACTAAGCACCTAATTTTCTGGTGGTGCATTAGACAAACCACTAGAGTTATGGAGCAACGGTCAACAATGACTAGATAGCGAGGCGTAGGGCACCAGATTTCTCCAATGTGGTCACCAAAACTATTCAGTGCTCACTGCCAAAGCAGACCCTATTCATTATGTCTAGTTGGGGATATTTATACCCTCATACCCAACCATTTGGAGTGTATTGGAGCTGATTGAAGGTGTAGTTGAGTTAAGGTTCATATCTAAGACACCACATGTGCTTAAGAGAATATTACGACTTAACAAAAGCATTAAAATTAGTGCTTAGGCTACTTCAAGCCACATTAGCTCTTTGCTTTAGGTGTAGGCCTAGAGTTTAGTGAGGTTTGCACATCTCTTTGCCATCAGTGCTTGTGTGTGACGATGTTCTACATTTTGGGGCTTGTAAGTCTTGTGAGATCACTCCAACTGTGTTTGTTGAGTGGACGCCGATTGTGTACGAGGGAGGAGAGGCCCTCGGCGTTTTAGCCGAAGCTCTACCAAGTGGAGACAGTGGAGGGCATCTGGTAGACGCTTGGTGGAGAACCACCACTTGCACATGGGGAAAGCCCTTGAGCTATCCACAGTGTTACCCGGTTGGAAGCTTGGTCCTTGCACAAGCATCCTTATGAGGGGCTCCAATGAGGACTAGTGGAAAGTATGAGCTTTCCAATACCTTGGTAAAAACAACATCATGCTAGAGTTTGCATTCTCTAACTGTTTATATTCTATATTTAAACTTTTGTATTGCTTGGTTGTATGCGTTTACCTTCATAGCCTAGTTTGCTAGGTTAGTTGATAGAATTGTAACTTAGGGTGCAAAATTCTTTGGCATCAGAGAAAGCAACACTTAGAAAAATATGTTGCATATCTAGATAGAACTTGAGTATGTTTTAATAAGTGGCTTTTGGTCTTCGTTTTAAGTAACCTAATTCAACCTGACTCTTAGAGATCACGGTGCCTTCAGCACATTTACAAGCAAAAGGTCTAAATTTAGGAGAATAAATTTGAGGTTAAGATAAATTGTATTCTAAATTAGGTGTATAATATTCTAGATCAGAAAAATAAGATTCTGGCCCAATAATAGGAAGAAAATTAAATTAAACAATAATAAAATTAAAAGGGAAAAGTAAATAATATACATTCCAAATTAGAAAAATAACATTGTTCCAAGTTTAGGAGAATAATATTCCATGTTTCATGAAAAGAATATTGGATTCATAAAGAAAAAATACTCGAGTCCAACATAACAATATTATGTTTTTAGAAAAATAATATTTTAGGTTCACGTGAATGATATATATTCTAGGTCAAGAGAATATTCTAGTCCTTGAGTAGAAAGTAAAATAAATGAAAATTATGAATAGATTGAAACTTTGGTCTAGGAGAATAATATTCCATGGTTAGGGCAACAATATTCTATTTCAAAAGAAAAGTATTTGGTTCTATGAGTGCAAAGAAAATAGAAAGCAAAGAGAATAATATTTTGGTTCATGAGGAAAAAAATCCGGTTGAGGAGAATAATATATTCCTATCTTAAAAGAATATAGAGAAAAAAAGAAATAAAATTAAATGGAAGGATGAATTGCATTTGAATAAACAAAAGGAGAATTGAAATACAGAGGAAAATAAAAAAATTAAATGAAAAAGAGACCACGTTACCATGGCAAAAAAAAACTAAAAGAAAAGAAATGAAAAGAAAAATGTTGGATGTGCCAAAATGCGTGCGTGCTTAGAAGAGGTCAAAAATAGGGCCCAATAATATTGTGCTCTAGGCTCCAACGCGTCAACAGTAATGCAATTGAATTGGGCCCAGGACTGAGAGTGCTGGCCAAATGTATTTGTTTGGATTCATGACGGCCGGGCCAGATGGCCCAAAGAGGATTCACAGCTACCTAGCACTGTCTAGATAGGGTTTGCCGAGTGTATTCTCTCGGGCACTCGGCAAACAAGGTTTTTGTCGAGTGCTGCGCTAAAAACACCCGGCAAAAAAAAAAAAACACTCGGCAAAGATAGGGTTTGCCGAGTGTTTTTTTTTTGACACTCGGCAAAGAAGTAACCACATTTTTTTGCCGAGTGTCAGGCAAACCATTTGCCGAGTGCGCGATAAAAAACACTCGGCAAATAGTTGTTTGTCGACACTGTAGATGCCGTGTGCTGTTTGTTGAGTGTTACACTCGGCAAAACCTTTGCTGAGTGTTTTTTAGTCTTTGCCGAGTGCCTGTGGCACACGGCAAAGTTACTATTTCCGGTAGTCCTGGTGTGCGAGTAGGCATGTCCATTACACAAAACTATAGGGATTCCAACGAAATCATAGGCTTATCTGTCAGCTTTAGCTTCCGATGTTCAGTAAGCTTTGAAGTGTGTATTGTATGATAAAAAAAACGTTTAACATGTATCGTGTATATTCCAAAATAAAGAAAATGATTGACCAAGTAGTCTTCGTCGAGCTAGGGATGACGACCAACTGTGAAAGACGAGTTAGATCAACGATCCGAGCACGGGATCGGATGAAGCTGACAGCCAGCATGTCTCCGTCTCGTTGGTACTACTATCTTGGAGTAAGTCTCTACTAGATCGGTTCGGAGACATAATAATTGAGTCATTGAAGAAGCTTTCATTTTGGTATCTTTTCACGTCTGTCAATTCTTTCTCGTGCATCGTTTTCGCTGGCAGTCCATATCCGTGGCCGTGAGTAGATACATTTTCTTTTTCTCGAGCCGCCAGGCTAAAGCCGTTGTCCAATGTCCAACCAAGGACGACGTCCCGGTCCCGGTCCCGGTCCCGTCGAGGAGGACGGCGCCGCCCACGACGTGCCGCCGCGAGGCCATGCCGGAGGCCACCGTCTACCTGCTGCTCGACCGGTGCGCGCCCAGCTGACGGATGGGATGACGGTGATGAGTGACTCAAAGAGTGCATCTATGTACGTATCTGTGTAGGTGTCCCAATGCAAATAACTTGGCCTTAGCTAGCTTGCCGTGTTGCAGTTCCACCGTGGTTCCTGTACATCCTTAGCTTGTTGCACATAATTTATGTATGTACAAATTTCCTGTAAAATAACGGTTCCTTAGCTTCCTTTTCTGTTTTCTGTTCCCTATGTAAGTCTGCATCCTGATATTGCACATGTGAAATGAATGAACAATAAATAAGAGCATGAAGAGAACGTCAGCATTGGGATCAACGATTCACCATGCAAATATGGTTTTTCTTTTTTTTATTATAGATATAAAATATAATGGAAATAATACAATCTGCTTCGTCCTCCGATCCTAGGAAAGAAATCAGGTCAAGCTTATTATAAGTTCCTCCAAAACCAAAGTAAAACCGAACTCACAGTCCCACACAAAATTAACCTTTAATCCTAAACATAAAAGACCATTCACGGAAGCAAAAAATTCATAAATATGTTTTTTTAGCTCGGTTTATTCTTAACCAAATCACAATTACGCCATATTTGTTGAAATCGAAGGATTAATTCTGCGATTTCAGTCAACCATTGAGCATTGATGAGGAAAGCAAGCGGTAGCTTCACAAGACAACTCGATGTTTTTTTCGTGCGTGGTCTGTGTTCTCTACGATAATTGCAAGTATAGTCACATTCTGAAAACGTTGGATGATAAGGACATTAGCAGTCAGTTACACGGATGTCATCTTGGTCAAAAAAGAAAAAGAAGCAGAAAAAATCTTCGTTTCAGTGTAAATATCAGCTGCCTAACTAAAATTCCTCGTGCCCACAGTAGAACCAACACGTTAGATTTTCAACAAGCAAATATGAGCTGATTGCAAAAAAGTATGTTTTGTGTTACCTGAGAACAATAAAAATCTAGTTTACTCTCTAAACTTATTGCTCATTCATATTACATAAAAAAAAGTATGAAACTAGTACTAAACATTTACTAAAAAAATATGATATATTTTTAGTGGTCTGATTGAGTTATTTGGATTTTATTTGTTCCTATTCCTAGTATTTGTAGTCTATGGTCATGTACATTATTTCTATTTCAATTATTGTTTTGACTATTTATACCATCTAGGCGTTGCAACTAGTATGTCATTTGCTAGCCCTCAAAAAAGATTTGGTTAATTTGACTCCAACATATCTGGTATTATTTTTGCATTTGGTTGATCTTCGAGTTTAATACAGAACAAAACAATAACTTATCAATAATGGGCACAACTAAGAGTAATAAAACATTAGGAACAATTACAAAAAGATCCAAATAACTTCAAGCATTGCAGTAACAGATATATTGTATTTTTTATAAAAAAATACCATCGGTTCCAAATTTTATTTAAAATAAATAGTAAATGAATTTTAATAAAGTAAACTATCTTATTGTTTCCAGAAAATGTAAACCAAATTTCAAGCTAGCTAGATGACCAACTTATTTCAAGTTAAATGTCTAAAACCAGACTCGAGGAAAGGTGGGCTACTAGCCGAACAAGAACTTTTCCCTTTATTCAAAACAATAAGTGAACTTGATGTACTCAAACATGAACCCTGCTATAGTATTGGTGCAACTATTATAGCGACGAGTGACAAGGACTAGGGAAAGGCCCAGTCAATGTTTGGACTAATGTGCTTAATATAATGTATTTTCACCACCCGTCTCTCCAAGTCAAGCCTCTTCACCAAGTCATCACCAATATGCCTTATGACCATGTGTAAGAAAAGCAATGTAAGTGATGACTCCTCCGATGTAGAAGAAAACCTACTTCACTTGCTCCGTGAATAAGAGAGGCTTTTAAAAAGACAATCTAAAGAAATTAAGGCCCTCGAAGAAAATAAAGAACTCAGTCCAACTTTGTCACTCATTATAAATCATTGCTTAACAAATTTCATTTGTTAGACAAGGAACATTGTGAGTTTAAATCCAAATTTGAGATCCTTAATACAAAAGAGCCTCCCTTGTGCATGAATCAGTCTACCTCAAGGTCAATTCCTATTTCTAAGGTAATGCCTCCACCTCTTGTGAACTAACCACTTGCAATGGAGTTTGTATTGAGAAAGTTCTTGAAGAAACTTGTGATGACTTCATTGTAGACGAGAACACCAAGCTAATGTAAGAGGTGGAGAGGCTCAAGAAGGGCAAGCACGCCATGAAGGATGCCTAACTCAATGAGGACCATCCGAGCTAAATAAAATAAACGGAGTGCCATCGAATTGACCAACCACTGGTTGTCGGTTTTGGACTCAGCTTGGATACCCGGAGCCCATGTAATCGACACTACTAATTTCCCTAGGCGGCGTATGTACCATGTTTTTAGATGGATGCCTTAGCTATTGCACTATGTAAAGGTAGTTTAGAGGTGGAAACCACAAACAATAATCATATTAGGGTGGAGCAATGTTGAGTTCTCAGCGATGAGGCCCCATCCTCATTGTCTCAAGCAAACACTAGCATGGAGCAGCTGCCCCATGATATCCACAAAACCCTCTTTAATTGCATTGTCTGACAAGGCTAGGATGTTGTTTGAAATAGACCTATGACATGGGTGTTGTTTTAGTTGTACTCGAGCCAATCAAAGGTTGTGAGTGTGATGTTGGGCATGCTATGAGACTAACCCTAGCAATCCTTACCATCCTCAAAAGATTACGAGTAAGCCACTAAAGGGCTGAGTGAGTTGGGTGGACTGTTTTCATGCAATCGAATATAAGCTCTATACCATCTTCAATGTCTAGCTTGGCCAAACACATCATCCATGACATGTTTGGAGGACTCTATATACACCAAACAACCAAGCTTTTGCATTAAATTGGATATATTACAAGATGCTTAACAATTTGTACTCACATACATAGTCGTACTCGAAAAAAATTACACACATACGCCCTCTGTTTGGTAATACAAGTCATTCCGACCGGCTATCATTGTAGTACAACATTGCCAACTACTCTTGAAACATAGTATGCTCGAATAATCTATCGGATCATTTTTTTAATTTTAAGCATTTTTCCTTCCCCTGGTAAATATAAAATATTTGCTAAAATTATTCATATTTATTAGTCATATGACTACTACTAAAAAACATAGTTATTAATATCATGCGCCTAATTTCTTGATAGGGTTTTCTAGAACCATGTTTGAGACTTTTGGAAGAAGCTGGATGTGGAAGCCATCTGGAAATTGCGACCCCGGATAGAATACCATTGTCCAACCGCTGACGGTTTTCCACCTATTTACGAGAACACAATATTGATTTTGTCATGCAGTTGATAAGTACTTTTGTATATTGATGAAAATTTAATAGCTGTCTCCCCCCTACCCTCTCTAAAAGTGAGTTTTTTTACATGTAATTTGTGACCAAGTAATGGAGGAACATAGCCATTTGCATCTTGGAAAAATCAGCACCAGCACATAGCCGCAAACCACCCCCAAAGGCCATAAAGTCCTTAGAGGCACCGACTGGTTCAGGAATATCCTATAGATAATGCACACATGTGTGATCTTTGGGCCAGGGATTTATCTGTTGATCTGATTTGAGTTTATTTCACATATATACCTTCCATCTCCATGGATTGAATACTGAGGGGTCCTCGTAAACCTTCATATTCAAGTGTGATGCTAATGAACAGATCATGATCTTTGATCCTTTTGGAATTGTGTGCCCTGAGTGCATAATATGTATAGCATCATAATGGATGGATTAGAACATCGATTTATATTCTCTTAAATATGTAGTAGAAAATGTAGATAGAATATTTTTTATTGGACATGATGGTGTGTGTGGTGGTGGTGGGTGGGTGGGTGTGTGGGGGGGGGATTATGCATACCATTTATGTGCACATCCTGATCTGCTTTCCTGAACATGACCAGTGCGATGTTTGCCAGCCTTAGAGATTCATGTATAACCTATGTGACATAGAAAGCATATTAATCCAAGAGAACCATTTGAATTCTGCCATGGACAAGATATATTTGTATGTTTTTCAAATTTATTTTCTTTTTTTTACAATTATGTCGGTACATACATGAGATGTGAATTTCATAGACTTGTACTCCTCCCACGTGATATCAGAGTCTGGATCGACCCTTCTTTCTAGGATTTTTTCATGCTCCTCCTGAAAACATCACACATCCAAATACGAATTCGATGTAAACGTTGGTATGTTCTGATGATACATATTTTCCCTGAGAACTGGACACAATCAAATATTTGTGGGAACAAATTAAATAACTTAATCTACTTAATGTTAGTTCTTGCAAAGCTTTGGGGTTGTCCGTCAAATACTTGAGTATGACGGTCAATACCATCGATGTCGTCTCATGGCTTGCAAAGAGCATCGTGAACAGCAAGTCCAACGCGGTGCTCTCGTCCATTATAGGGTTTGGCTTGTTCAGTTCATCGATCACAAGATCGAAGAAATCCACGGTCTCGCGATCCGCTGCATTCCTACGCTCAACGAGCTGCTGCTTCAGCATCTTCATTACGTTCTTACGCCCTTGCATGCATTTGTAGAAGGTTGTGCCAGGAATGGGAACTGGAAATGAGAGTAGCCCCGAAGTCCAGTCGTGGAAGCATTCCCACAACCTTCCTCCTCATGCTGCATCAGCATGGCTGATCAGCTTTATATATATATATAAACACGGCACATGAACTTTAATTTGCTCTGTCAGTTATATTGCGAGAGACCTCGATCGGCTCTGTTGTTATTACTATGGCGAAGAGGAAGCTAATAAAGAACTAACCCTGGAGATGGCCGTCCTGACCTCGACGTCCCGCCTGCCGAGCCATGAGCGCAGCTCGTCACGCGCGCTCCGCTGCACGTCACGCAGCAGCACGGAGAGCGCGGATGCTCTGGTGGCCAAAGAGACGGAGCACAAGGGTCCTCATGTGGCGGTGGAGCACGCCGATCTTAGCGGTGATGTTGTCGGGGCCGAAGACGCGCATGAAGGAGGGCGGGTACCAAATCTGGAAGCCGCGCTCCTCCTGCTTCAGGATATGAGCGTTCAGCTCTGCGTCCAGCGACACGATGAGGTCCTCCCCGACTAGGCTCGTCCGGAAGATGGGGCCATACCTGCAAACTTCAAGTCCAAGCATCAACATCGATCCATTACTAGCATGCAATTCCTTTAATTACAACCACGTACGTACGTGATTAGTTATAAATCGCTCAGGATCATGCATCTAACTAGGGGGTTGCAAGGAGGTCATCGTCGGCCGAAGACAAATCACAAATATGCAGTCCATCTTTTGCAAAATGCAAATGCAATATGTTTTAGTACGTTTTATTTATCCTACGTCATACTCATAAATATGACTCTAAGTTTAACTAAGTTTTATGAAAAGATGTACTAGTTCTGAACATGTGACCCCTTTGTACCAAAATAAAGAATTTATTGCGCTAGAAAAAAGCAATCTCTTCCGGAATATAACAACCTGTTAATTGAGGGGCATCATTTAGATAAATTATTGGCATGTGTTATTTGTGTTGGTGTAATTGATCAAGATGCATCGTAGCTACTCCCTCTGTTCTTGAATTAAGGCAATTTTCAGATAAAATAAGTAGCCTACTAAAATACCACATTACTTCTCATTCATTAGGAAAGAGTGAGTAGTTCGATTATTGTTTTCCTAGTTTAAAAGGAATCTTTACATGTTATTATTTCTTGCCATGAATTTGAGAGGAAAGTATGGTGTACATAGAAGGAAAAGGGTATTTGGTTAATAAAGACAGAGGAGAGAGAGAAGTTGAGGACCTAAAATACTTTATATTTTAGTATAAATTTTGAATCCTCGATTACTTATATTTTAGAACGGAGTGAGTAGTTACCTTATATTCTTAAATCTGTCCTAAAATCTTTTTACATTTGTGGACGGTGGGACTATAACATTAATTTAGAGTCATTTTTATAAAATATAGAGTACTCCGTATGTCTTCAATATCATAGTGTATTTTATTTGGTATTGTACATATTTGGGGACGGTGGAACTATATAAAAATATAAAATAGAGCATTGAATTAGCCCTGCTGATGAATAAGATGTGCATGTGCGTCCGAAGAAATCTGTGGTGCCATTTGCCAATGAGCTGTGAGCATGCACGGTCCTTGTTGCCGATGGGTGCAGCGGCGGCGCTCGTCACACTCACACCGTACCGGCTGGTGTTCTAGCCCTGTTGAACAGCCTATTTCTGTATGGAACCATGAAAGCTACCTAGTATATAGACTAAAATAGCTCCAACTCCCAGAGCCAAGGTCACGGATACAGCAGCCAAGTAATGCATCGACATTATACTCTACTAAAAGTGTAGCTCATCAAGTAATATGTAAGGGGGGACTCAGCTACCTCTCATCAGCTTTCAATTTGCTTTTTATGTATGCGCGCGGCGATGCCTATATATAGATAGATGTAGCGGCTAGCAGGTAGCTTGCAGGAGGAACTAACTAGTGTTACATTGTTACGTCACTGCAACCGATCAGGATGGAGCACTAATCATGATCAGAAGCATATTATTCACGTGCAGTACAGGGATGGACCATCAGAAACCCTGTTTTCAGACCCCGAATATCCATCAAGGTCACACTGCAAATCTGCAGCCGAGAGGACAAACACTACCTAAAAAACGGTTTGTAGCAACGGGATAGTTTTTTTAGAGTGGCTGGTGATGAAGCTGCCCCTACAGTGACGTGCTCGGGAGCCCAGAGACCAGCCGTCCCTACAAATAGAACAGCAGGGGCGGCTGGTCATACAAGCCGCCCCTACAAATGGGTCGGATTTGTAGGGGTGGCTCACTCACCAGGCGCCCCTGGTATTGCTATTTGTAGGGGCGTAGGTGATTGAGCCACCCCTATAAATACCCGAGTATAAAATCCTCCGATTTGTAGGGGCGGCTTAATCACCAGCCGCCCCTACAAATGACCCTTGTAGGGGCGGCTGGTGATTGAGCCGCCCCTACAAATGCCCGAGTATAAATACCTCCGATTTGTAGGGGCGACTCAATCACCAGCCGCCCCTACAAATGACCTACATATAAAGCAAACTGCAACACCTTCTTTCTCCTCGGGTCACTCACTCCAACCCGTGAAAAAAAGGTGGAGAGGCCTTAGGCACCTTCCAAAAATTGCTCTACTAAGATGGGAAGGTTTTGGTCTCAAATCATTTGGTGGAGAGGTTGTAGACAGTAAAAAAATACTATTCCACACTTTTTTTAAAGTTTTAATGGTTGGTTAGTTAGTAATTAGAGTTTTGCTTTTCTCTCTCTTCTATGGTGCTTAAGCTACTTATGAAGCAAATTAGATGCAAGTTTTGAATGTACTAGGGTAAATTAGGGAGGGGAACAAGATCATACCCTTATTTGGTCCATGTTTCTTGATTTTAGTGAACAATTAGTTAGTTTTATGGATGTTTCATGTGCATGTAGATCTAGATCTAGGGTTTGGTTTTTTTATTAATTTTGTTTTTGTAAATTTATGTTTGATGAAATTGGACTAGGGTTTGCATGAAAGATATTGGGTAAAATATTAATTGTTGCTAATTATTGTCTTTGAAATTATTTATTATAATCAACAAATATGTATTTTAATTATTTTTGGATAAATAGGCCATTAATTAATTTTCCTCTACCATGGTATGTTTGTATGCTTCATGTAATTATATTTTATTTATATTCATATATATCTGAAGTATATACAATTATTCTCAAGTAATTATTAATTTGATTTATTTTTATATATATCTGAATAAGTAGTTCTTTAATGTTTGTTTTGTTGTTGTTGTAAAAGATGGAGCACATGAACTCTTAGATGTATGGTTCGTTAAGGTTCAAGGCAGGTTTTCATGAAGAAGTGGATAAATTTATTGAAGCCGCAAAGAAGCATGCAACGACATTGACAGAGAATAAGGATACAATTATTTATCGCTGTAAAGATTGCAAGAACCATATGGCATGTCCAGATGTGACTATCATCAGATCATATTTGATTATGCGAGGATTTATTGAGGACTACACAATGTGGATTCATCATGGTGAAATGGTTATTGTTAACGACGAGGATGAGGAGGAATACGACGATGAAACCCTAGAATCCCTGTCCCAATATTCAGCAGAGCTTGATGCATGAATGGATTTCGAGTTTGGCAATGAACAAGGTGGTGATGCTGGTGGTTGGGATGGTAACAACGAAGGTGGTGCCAATAATGATGGTGGAGCACGTGTCGGGGATGAAGATGATTTGGAGCACGACATGGTGGGATGATGAGCGCAAGGTGGATGATGATAAGATTGCACACCCGGCTGATTGTAATCAGTGGCAAAGGTTCGATGAGAAACAGAAAGAATTCAGCGATGACCTAAGAAATGTACGGTTTGGCTTGAGCACCGATGGAATGAATCCCTTCAATGAGAGGATCAGCGACCACAACACTTGGCTAGTGATCTTGACCATGTACAACATCCCAACATGGTTGTGTCAGAAGAGAAAGTACCTTCTCCTCACTATTCTTATTTCTGGCCCTAAACAACTAGGCATTGATATAGACGTGTTCCTCGAGCCTTTGATGCAAGAAATGGAGAGGCTATAGAGGCATGGGGAGCCGATGTACGATGCATTCCGAAAGGAGGACTTCATATGTGGAGCAATAATATTTGTTACTACCAATGATTACCTCACGCTATTTGCTTTGTCTGGATAGATCAAAGGGAAGACGGGATGCTTGGTTTGCTTGGATGGTACTACATGGGTGTACCTGAATGCATCCAAGAAGATAGTTTACCTAAGGAACCAACGCTTCTTAAAGACAAGTCACAAGTACTGCAGCAAATTGTTCTTTAGATTTTATAACAACACCCTAGAGATTGAACCCCCTCCGGAGAGACGTCATAACGGAGAACACGTGTACAGAATGGTGAAAAACATACGCGTCGTCTATGGAAAGAAGAATCCGGATGGGACAAATAGAGATAGAAGCACACCTCCTGTCGAAGGCGTACCTTTCAAGAAACAATCGATCTTCTTGCATTATCTGCCTTATTGGCCAGACTTAGAGGTCCCTCATGCCATTGATGCTTTGCACGTGTAGAAGAATATCTTTGAGAGTCTCATTGCTACCTTGATGGACATAGGCAAGTCAAAGGATGGTCTGAAAGCACGAAAAGACATGGTGCCGCTAAACATGATGCCACAGCTTCACCCGGTACCTGAGGCTAATGGAAAATACACTCTGCCTATGGCGTGCTTCAACCTAACACCAGACGAGAAGAGAGCTATATGCACTTTCCTGAGGGAGGTCAAAGTCCCGACTGGATTTTCAGCAAATGTGAAGAAGCTAGTGTCGATGAAGGACTTGTCAATAAGACACTGTAAGGCTCATGATTGTCATGTGATGCTGACAGTGTTTCTACCTATTGCAATCAGGGCTATAAAGTTAGAGTTCTTAAAAATGGCCATCACCTGCATGTGCTACTTCTTTTCGAAGATCTCACAGAAGACGATTGGCAAGCAAGAGTTGAGCGACCTACATAAATTTGTGGTGGAGACACAAAACCAACTAGAGATGTGTTTACCTCCTGCTTTTTTAATATAATGCCACATCTCATGATTCACATGGTTCATCAGATACAGGCGCTGGGCCCTTGCTACTTGCATGAAATGTGGTCCTATGAGCGGTTCATGTCTGTTCTAAGTCGATACGTGCATAATCGAGCATACCTAGAGGGCTCCATGATAGAGGATTACAGTACTGAAGAAGTCGTCGAGTGCTGTCAAGAGTACCTAAAAGTACAGAAAGGGATTGGTAAACCTGATTCTCATCACAAGGGTAGGCTGGCTGGGAAGGGCACCAGTGGTAGAAAAGTGTTCATCGACCATGATTACAAAGAGGTGAGTCGGGCACATTACAGTGTCTTGCAGAGTACACAACTGATGCAACCATATATTGATGAACACTTGCCTATCATTATGGCGGAGAGAAATGGTCGTTCGGATGATTGGGTTATGAAACAACATAAGCAACGACTAACTATATGGTTGAAGGACCAAAATATACCGCTTG